TTGTAAGTTACCTCGCCTACTTAATACATTAAAAATAAATGCTATTCAACCTTTGAAACATAGCACGTGTATATCTATTTATAATATTGTAAATAAAGCCGCAGAAGATCAAAGTATAGATGGTGCGAGTTTATACAATAGCGAGAACGTTCACTCGCAAAGCTTTGAGTTCCTCGGAAAAAGCTAATATTGTTTGATATACAGACGGTAAACTTAGCTTAAGTAGGTAGGGCTGGGGTGCTGTTGATACCGAAACTGAAATTCGCTTTTTCTTTTTCGAAAGCCTACACTTCCACAAGCACCATATTTAGCTAAACTAGAGAGGGTCAACAGGAATATTAGTAATTTTTCAATACAGATTGCACTCTGTGCGTAATACATCTTACAAAAGGGCGTACTGCTCTGAAATTTTCAGCCAGAAATTTAAAAAAATGTGAAAAAAATATCAAACTTCATTTTAAAGATTTCACAAAGAAGCAAATCACATGTCATTTTATTTTCTGTTTAAATTATCCAGTCTTTTAATCGTTTTATTGAATTATCTTCATTGATAGTGTTATAAATGGTGAATTTTAAATAAAATCTTGAAATTTTCTTTCAGGGTCACATTTGATATCGAAACCGGAATCATTCGACATCTAAACAGTATCAATTCACTCTCACAGCCACATCTCTAGTCTGTTGTTGAAATAAAGAGATTTTTATGAACCTGTGATATACTTAAATCTACTTGACGACTGCCTACGTACATTGTGTTTTCCGCCTGCTTAAAGCTAAGACGGGGGAACGGTGTGGAAAATTTTGCTTTATATTTATTGTTATTGTGTAGGATTTTTCGTTAGACATTGATTTACCTTGTGTGGGTTTCTCACGCATTTACACGAGCGTCTCCCTCTCAACAAGTCAGAGAACTAACGCCCGTATTCACAAACATTACTATGAGGTCTCACAGTGCGCGTGGACGCACAGGGTGTCACACGAACCAATCACAGAGCTCTATTTAACGTTGTGCGTTCGATTTGTTGCTTTACTTAAAGCAAGCATCGTTTGTAAATATGGCCGTAAGCTTATGAAGTGATATTATCTACTGAGCTTATGAGAGTGGGAAAGAGAACACTCAAAAATACATAATTCCAAAGAATGCTATGTAACTAGATATGCTTTTCAGAATATAAATTGTGTTACATACAATTTATTTTACCTAACTAAAGTTATGGAAAACAATTTTCACGCATAAAAATGTTGTGAGCATAGCTAATATCGAATAAAAGAAAACCCATTTGAGCTCGACGCGATCTCTGCCTATTTGTATTCAGGTGATAAAAGAAGCGTAAAAACGATAATCTACACCTGCTCCATTATTGTAATATTCCATTGAGCGTTAGGTTTTCACATATTATGAGACTGTTGTCTGCGAGTGCCTCTAGTTTTAGCAATTCAGTCGTTTTGATCTGGACAGAATCTGTGGTTTTTAAATTTTATTAGCATAGGTAAAACGTCAAGCTAAAAACTGCTAAAGTGTTCTCATTGCGAGGTAAGGCGCGGCCTTTGTGTCGTAAGTAACGGTTGTAAGTTCATATTCCTGCATGGGTTCTTGTGTTGAATCCTTCCAGATGATTCTTTGTAGATGTTGATCCTTCTCTTGATAAAAAGTCTCACAAGATGATTTTCCAATGTGCCATATTTTAACACGTTGGACGCCACGCGGCTCACCGGTGAGCCTCGAACAATACAATTTCCATTGTGTCTAGCGTCTCGGCGTTCAATGACTTAAGCAAGAATGTAACGTGCCACTCTAATGCCATGCTATTAAGGCATTTTTGGAGCAATTGAAACATTTACAGTGGGTGCAGTTAGAGTCCGTTGATCTTGATTCGGAGGTCCGTCTTCGATTCCCTGATGGGATACAAGATGAAGTAGTGACTATTACCATAATCACGACATGTACGAACCCAGTTATTAGCACTCTAGTGGCAAATCACTTGCCGATTCACACGTCACGTACTCTAAGGCTGATTTGCACCAGCACCACCAATATTTGACTGTAACTTTGACGATAACCGGTGTTTTTTGTATGGAGTTTGACATATTTTTGACGTTTGTTAAAGCTAAAGTAAGATGGTGCAACTCACTCTGAGAGTGATAAAATCACTCGCCCTTCTACAAGCCAGGAGTTAACAGCCACTCTGCCCTCATCTGTTTCCGATACCATTTGCCGAGGGCTCTTAGCGCACTCCCTGCTCGTGGAGCATTGCACTTTTGGATTGGTGCAAGTTGAAAAATCTATTAGGTAGGTATATCTACATCATATTTTGGAAGTTAGTTTGTTATAGTATCTACCATAGCGAAGAAGAGAGGAGATGTGTTTCTAATCAGTCAGATTTTCGAACCGTTTATTTTTCGTCAGGTAAATACATTAATTTGTATACCCATCAGCCGCGGGGGCAGCTACTTAGTGGGTTATGTGGGGTTCTCCCTGCCAGAAGGGAAGGGCATACCCACTAAAAACCTGACGTTGCCCTCGGTAAGCCATATGCTATCGAGATGTGCTATCTTATAGAATATTAGAGAAGGCTGGACCTATTCCTTCCTCTAGGAATGTCTTACTACTTACGAGATAAGAATGTGGATCCCAAAATGCAAAAAAATAGATATTATGCTAGTTTCATCATCATCATCATCATTTCAGCCACAGGACGTTCACTGCTGAACATACCCCAATGACTTCCACATCGCACGGTTGGTAGCGGCCTGCATCCAGCGCCTTCCTGCTATCTTTATCATTCATGTAAGAAGCTAATTTATAATCGCTTCTTCCCCCAACTTGAGACACCCCCATCCGTCTCAGTTGATTTAACTCCTGCTCTAGCGGAGTCTACTTGTAGTTCATTATTGTGGAAATTCGCTAAAGTTGTACAATGAAATATTCATGTAGAGTGTACCGGGACGCGGAATGCTCCTTTACGTACTACCGATTAGGTTACATGCTTCTGGGAAATTACTACAAAGAACATTTACGTATTACATAAAGTTGCTGTAGGTACGTCTTTTCTTATCCATCTCATTTTAATTACTTAAGTAGGTAAAACTACCTAGCTTGGTAGTAATTATGTACGCTTAATCTTTTAATTAATACACTCAATTTATACCTAGGCTATAAACCAACATTAAGCACATTTAACACAAATAGTTTTTGGACACCCAAAGTAGCCAAAAAGTTCACAACACGCCTTTGTTACAATGAGAGCTATCGTTTTTATACTTAACAGTTGGCACCCCTGGCGATTGACAGGACCTTACTCTACAGTGGCGTCATCTTGATGAGTGCAAATGCGATAGTCCTCCTACCACTTTAGCGCTAACCAGTTGGTGCCACTGTCTTCGCTACTAGCAAGTGACAGGACCTTACTCTACAGTGGCGCTAACTGGTGAGCGCTAAAACGATAGCCCTGTCAACTTTTTGGCCACTTTGGGTGTCACGAACTATTGTGCGCTGACTGTACTAATATTTTGCGGTTACTATTTAAGTTCTTTGTCGCAGGAATAAAAATTGCCTTATTTTACAAAATCTCTACCCACCATTTGTTTACATTTAAATGACCTTAGTGACTTGTTTATTTACAACTCTCAATTTGACAAACCTGACACGACCAAATGGCGTCACCCAACTTGATTCACCGTGACAAAGTTTGGGCCAAGTTGACGATAACAACCGAATTGCGGGGGGAACGAGTTGCCACGCAAATTTTCCGTCCAAATTAACCGTAAACCAGTTAATAAATACATTATTTGTACTTTATTGCCTTTGTAAGGGTCCAAAAAATTCAGTTTGTACTTACTGATGCCGATTAAGGCTTAAAAGCCTTACATAGCATTTGCCTCAAAAGCTACGCACATAAGTGAGGGCGATACCACATAATTTTATCTTGCCAAACGTTAATAACTAGTGCTTCAGTCACAGAATATATTTCGCATGCTTTGTTTACTTGAACTTCCATCGTGTGTGTGCAGCGCTATTTTTATTTTTTACTAGCGGCCGCCCGTGACTTCGTACACGTGAATCCCGTTTTACCCTCTTAGGAATGGAGTTTCATGAAATCCGGAAAAGCACCTACGTTCTACAAAAAACCAACAGGCAAAATTTGAGATTAAGTACATCTACAGTATAAGTACTTTCTGAGATTTCGTGATGAGTAAGTCAGTCAGTGACCTTTCGCTTTTATAAATATATATTTTATTTTGTTTTATTCGGAAAACAATAACGAACTTTAGTACGCCTTTAAAGCGCATGCAGTCGAAATAAATAGTTTTACTGCGCATCTCTACGCCCAACTCCGCATTTCTTTATACAACTAGCTCGAATTAACATAGGAAATTAAAGATCCACATTACGTTTTATTTTGTCCGTATGCGTCCTTACGCTAAGCTTCCTGGGTAAGGACGAAACGCTCCATAAAATTAGACAAAGACCGCATAAAAGAACATGACACCGTCTCTGGGAAATCCACTTCGCTCATGTTGGGGCTTAGTCGCCATTAACGACTGGAATTCGCTTTGACTGTTGTGTCGAGTTCAATTCCAAAACAATTTAATTTTTATGTAGGTAAATATTGAATTGTTTTGGACTAGACTTTGCAAATTGGCTTGAATCTCTTAACTTGTAGAGTTGCTGGTCAATTGATACGAATCTATAAATTCTACTGAATGCTTTTTAATGGTGAAAAGTAGTTGCAGTTATTATTCGCATAAAACTTCCCTCTACAATTTTAGACAGACCTTATTTCTGTCATAAAGGTATAATAAATGATCAGTTTATGTTAAAACAATTTCTTATAATTGTATCCTGTATTTTCCAGTAACCTCTCGCGGGTTTACACGTGTAATCTTTACCCATTTCTCTCACACACTCAAAGGTTATGGCACGAGTAAATCAACAAACAGATCCGACACCGAAGTTCTTAGTAAAATACATAATTAAACGTTTCATTCGTTTGTTTCAGGCGTACACACCGACTGGATTCGAGAAATACGGGTACACGTGCACAGTCGCCGATTACAGAGTGAACTTCTCCGTTTGGGACACGTCAGGTAAGAACACTCTATATTATTCAACAGTATGTGATCGTAGAGCTGATAACCGTTGAGGCAGAAAAGTTCTCGAATGGTGACCACGGGTCGGAAGACGTAGTATGGACAAGCAGCCTACTAGGTGTACCAACGATTTGGTGAAGGTTGCGAGAAGTTCCTGGATGCCGGCAGCGCAAGAACGGTCATTGTGTAAATCCTTGGGGGAAGCCTTTGTCTAACAGTGGACAACATTTGGCTGAAACGAACGAAGTGACCTGTATGATATGATGATTGATACTGGACTCTAACCCAGATCTACATTAAATTTTAAAACAGATGTACTTTTTTACGATAGAATCCTTAGAAAATATATCTTTGGCGTCACCATGATATGGCTCTATTTACCTGTTATATTATTCAGTTATGTACATCAGTCTGAACTGTATTTCATTCGTAAATCAACTTTATGAAATACCTACAGTAAAAGAGCACAAAATATATCGCTCTCCAAATAACAGACGAGACTTACAAAATATACAAAGAAAGTTACGAACATTAACGTTATTTGTAAGAAAGCAAATGACAAAATTATACACAGCTGAATGTCAACGCGATCACATAATACTCGTAGAATGATTTATAGCGTGAATAACAAAAGTTAAATAACTAAGTAAAGTAATATTACTTTGGGACTAGAAACTATATGAATAGGCCTGCTTTATTATACATTCACGTCGATGTTAATGTCAAGAATGTTACTAGGTATAATTAATTATGAATTACAAAATAGAAAGTTCAGTCAAGCATGATATTAGTTATACAATTTTTAGGTAATTCTTTCGTGATGATGAGATTTATACAATGTTTTCGTATCAGTTAAAAACGTAGTTTCCATGGTAGAAGATCCAATTTTTGCTCATAGATGGCGTTACCACAATACTGAATACTTAGCGATATCTAACGGATTTATTTACCAGGCCTGCCGGGATAGGATCCGCGCCAAATCGATAAAATCTATTATTATATCTATAAAAGCAAAAGGTCACTGACTGACTGACTCACTGACTCATCACGAAATCTCAGAAACTACACGTCTCAAATTTTGCATGGGGGTACTACGAGCATTACATGTAAAGTGCTGCCCATACAATTTCCATTACATTACACGATACATTACGCGTTACACCCGTCTGAACTCGGCTCTACTGGCAACTCTACAAGTTATTGCCTAGTATCAACCGAACACTTGTAAATTTCTCTACGCCAGACACTTTCCAAGAATGGAAATAATTCAGCTCCTTTATAATTAAATGCGAAGCCTCTGTAATTGGGAGCACTCGTACAGTCCCCAGCAGACTACATTTCTGCTGTAAAATAGTTCCTATTGCAACGATACAAGGTGCTAGTGTTCAGCTTGGTGTGCGGTCGTCGGTACATCGAGCCCTGCTGCTGTCAGACCTGGATCAGGTCGGGTAATTAGTTGTTTAGTGCTAAGATACCCCAATCCTTTGGTACGCGTTATTTAGTACGGCTCTGTGTTTTTCAAGTAGATTAAATTACTAACCTTTGTAACTTTTAAGGGTAACTTTATGATTTTAATAAGAAAATAATATTAATATAGCCAATAGGCTTCGGCAATTTGGTATGATATGTTAAAAATCGACTGTAAGCAATAAAGACTGAACTCCCAGTGATTTAAACTTATTTTAATTTCACTTTGAAATCATCAAATTACTTGAACCATAGGAAGTTCGGTATCAAAGTTAGGCTTTAATGTGCAGTCGGTGTCAGGTGACTGACTGACTGACATAGAGATCTATCAACGCACAGCCCAAACCACTGGACGTATCGGCCTGAAATTTGGCATGCAGGTAGATGTTATGACGTAGGCATCCGCTAAGAAAGGATTTTACAAAACTCCACCCCTACGGGGGTAAAACGGGATTCACGCGTACGAAGTCGCGGGCGGCCGCTCGTCGTTCATATAAGACCATGATAAGACAACACTCTTTAGCTTAACGCTGTCCAACAAAAATAATTAAGATAAGTTCTAGACGTAGCGTGGGCAGGCCTCCTACTAGGTGGACCGACGATCTGGTAAAGTTCGCAGGAAGAGCCTGGATGCGGGCAGCGCAGGACCGTGCTTTGTGGAAAACCTTGGAGGAGGCCTTTGTCCAGCAGTGGACGTCATTTGGCTGAAACGAACGAACGAACGAACGAAGTTCTAAATAAGACTGAATAGTACAGCTTCACGTTAAATGCTTTATGTTAAATATCTGAAATGCCTTTTATTACTATCACTCAAGCTCGGAACTTCATCTGACTGTTTACGATGTAATAAAGCGTAGTTGAATAAAACCCGTAATGTGCTTCTACTCGTATATTGACTTACATTCCTGATTACATTACTAAATTACGAAAATACTTAAACTTTTACTTGTGGCATAACATGCAAAACTGGGTAATAAACTATTAAGGTCGTCGCACATTTATCAACCTGCAAAGGGATCGTAACCGTATCAACTCGAGGCGGTCAGTATTCTTTGTATGAAACTCCATACTGCAACGCACACTTATCCGCACCGTAAAGTAACGTAAACGCCTCGCCTCGCGATTGACAGCGCGCGAAAGGCGCTGACAGCTCGCGAAAGACGATATACATAGATGACCCACACTGAACTGTCCCACCAAACTCAATGACAGGGGGGCGCTACCATCGTTCAACTAAATGGTTTCCAACATGGCAAAAATCGGAACCAGCGATCCGATATTTACGGTGGCGCCCCACTGTCAATGTCATGGATAGGACAGTTCAGTATTTTGGAACTATACGGTATTTGATCCCTTTCCAAGTTAATAAGACAAGTCTGCTATGAGCTTTATGTTACTTTCCTTCACGACTTGCTTCATAACACTTGAAGATTACGAGCACATTAGACGAAATACAAGTACTTTTCTGCGGTTAAAAGGCACATCAATTAATTGTCTGCGTTGTCTATAAAGATTGTCTTGTAGAGTTCTCTTGCAGTCGTATTCTGTTTACGGGCACATAAAGACTCTACCATGAAGTAGAGTTTTATTTCAGAATCAGTATGTGAATGTCAAGGTTTATAAGCTGTATAACTTAATTCCTTAGACATTTTCCCTTAAATTATACCACATCCGTAGACTGATGCCCTTTTTACCATCAACCCCTAATTTTTAAGTGACCCCTATGGTAACAAATTGTATGAATTTTGTTTTCATAGGAATCACTTAAAAATTAGAGATTGATGGTGAAAACAGGCATGAGAATGTTAGGTATGTATTTGACAACGTATACCCGTATATTTTTAGCAACTTGTTTTTTTTACTTTTGTATCATGTTTAATTTGTCAGTGCATCGTCCTAGATTCTCTGACTAAATTACAATTGTAACACTTTATTTAAACACTCCCAAAAAGGATAAGACAAGTTTTCTTTCTATTTAAATATCTTATGTAGATTCCGCACGGCCATCGACGAGAAATACACGCAAACGTGCTTTAAAAAACGGTCAAGCACAGTCTATATGCAGTAGCAAAGAGCGAAATAGCCACTGCACTAAAGTGGGGGGATCCCCTAGAAACAGGGGGTTTTAAATGGGACGGTAGAATGCAGTTTTGCAGTTCCTTTTTGCGTCTGTTGCTCTTTGAGTTTTGAATAGCATTCGATGTTTAAACGACGCGCTATAATTTCAGTGTTGCCAATATCTAGATTTAGATCAATCTGTCTTTAAAACCTTTGTGTAACTAAAAACAATAGCTTAATTAATGAAAAGATAATATGAAAATGTCCAAAATCACTTACTTGAAAATGGAAAACATTATTTTTTAACGTTTGAGAACTTTTTCAATGTAGCTTAAAAAGTTTAAAAGAGGGAGCTTAAACAACAGTTTTAAAAAACCTACAATAATGGTGGGTTTCTTTTGACAACAACAATAAATATCGTTTCTTTTAAACCATAATAATATATCAGTAATTACTTGTGAAATATTATGATTTACAGCAAATAATTATACAGTCAATACCTGTCTGCCTATACTTAGTCCGTATTTCATCAGACCCAGTGCAAGCCAACTCAAACAAATAATGCATTATTATCGGCGTAGGCGTGAGAGAACCGTTGGGCAAAGCTGATCCTACAGTGTTGCCTCATTAAGCAAATGTAATTTATTGTTTTCCATTTTAACCGCGAGTGTAGCCGATTATTTTGTAGGCAGCGAAATAATCGAATGGTGCAGAATTGTGTGATCTGTATTTTTTCAATAACCGAATTATTGGATTTACGGATTATTAGTTAACTATTTTTTATTAAACACATTGCTGTTTAGTCCTAATTTAACTTAATTAGTAAACTAACTATGGTAATCGAACAACGGTACAAAAAGAATTGAAGTGAGTTTAAGTATACCTACCTGTCAATTAACGATTTTGCATAGTTTTGAAGTTACAAGTTTGTTTTAAAAGTTTATTAACCGTTAAGACATTAAAATGTATCTGAAACAGTTACTTTCCTCATCTACTGAACACAGACTTCCCCAATGATGAGTCTTGTTTTAGCACTATTAATGTTACAGGAAATGTATGAAATCCGTCATTGTATATACAATTCCTAGGAATTGTATGTAATTCCTAAACAGCAATCGTAAATGTGTGATATATTTAATATTTCAATGAATACGCGCGGACATAAAACTCTATTTCCTAAATTAACTAGAGGTGTGAAGATATTTTAATTTATAAACCGCAGGATTGTTACTTGAAAGTCTCAATGAAAGCCTTAACAAAATATCTGATTCTTGAATTAGTAAGAAGCAAAGATATTAGATGCTGTATGATTGTTACGTTATTGTCTTAATGAGACCCTTAATAGAGACTCTGATTCTTAATTTCAAAACGACGTGTTTTATTTATTTTATTCACACATAGGGTTCATTTGATACATTTAGATATTGGAATTCTATAAAATTCCTAGGAATTAAATAATCTCTAAATCAATATTTTATACATTTCCTAAATAGCTTCGGAATTGTATACATTTCCTAGGAGTTTTATACAATTTCTCCGTAATTTATGGGTTGTGGTTATCTATCTAGTTGAACTACAGCAGTAAACTAATGTTGGTTGTGCGGTCGCGACAAATAACTCATGCCAGCGTTTCAAATATGCGGGTATTTGAGCATTCAGCGTAACGCCACGATGCACGACAGCCATTTGTTATTACCGCAGGAGGTTTTACATATTCTGACAGTGCTTTGTTTTAAAAACATAAACCATTTGGGAAATTCATTTCTATATTGTCTCTGTTCTAGTGGTAAGACCACCTGTCTTAGGTGGATCAGTTCACGGGTTTAATTCCCAGTGGGGGCAAAATTTTCTGCTTTGCTTGGGTAGATCTTGTTCAAAGTCTGCCTGGCTAACTACCATGATCTTACCAAAGTCTTTCGCCACATGCTGGACACAGTAGAATGTAAGATAAGGTTTCAGTCTTTGTGGTTGAGAATTCGCGGTTATGGTTAATAAACAAAAAAGACATCAATGTCATCTACCATTGACCTCAGCAGAGCCTGTTTTACCATTGCTGGATGATCTAATGTCTATCTATCTAAGGTAGTTACTTTTCTCGATCAAAGTGCTAAACGCTCTTTTTCAACTCAAGCAGAGATACAATACAAATACAAAATTGTTATATTCAGTAGGTATCAGGTTAGACTTTTTGACAGGGTTTCGATTGGGGTTTTAAAAGTAGATACTTGTGTTAGAAAGCCCCAAATACAACACTGTAAATGTAATACTTTGTACTGTTTCAAAAAGATACATAAAGGAACGTAATAACCTTTGGCCACTGAACACAGGCCAGAAACGAATATCGGTAGAGTGCACCACATTGCAACGGCTCGTATCAAATATCGGCTCTCCGATCTCCAATCATACGTATCTTTTTCTGTTTCAATTGGGAAAGAAATGAAAACTTGCAGCGATGAATTCTGTGAAAATGGTTATTTCTTTGATGATTCAAAGATCTCAAACGGCACAATCACAATTCTCTCACGGCACGGAAAGATAGTCTAAAAAAATAAAGACGGTCTAAATACTATTTCATCTAATCTTCGTTTCATCCATCCATCTCCATCCATCCAAAGACAATTTAATAATCAAACATTTCAAATTGAGAGCTTCACAAAGAGAAAAATTTGGTACAACGCCATCTCTCCGCGATATTGGGGAACTAATCACTTTCCAGCCGGTCAATTTCCGAACGAAAATTTGGCTGAAATGAGTGGATCCTCTATATTCATGCGTTTGAAACGCTGTACATGATTGGTAATTTGTGTTCAAACGAGCCGTCAGTCACGCCTGACTAATATCCGACTGAGGATATCAATGACTGACATTTGTTACGTTCGGAAATGGGCCAGTGATATTTTGTTTGGGCTTCTAAATAAGTTAATTTTAATTTTTTTCAACAAGTAGGCTAACAAACAAAACTAAAAAAAAAACAAACAGTAAATAACTTGTATTTCGTAAAGTAAATAGATAGCTGATATTATAACCAAATACAAATATAAACTTCAACCAAAGAAATATCCTGTAACTAAACATACTACACTGAAGAAAAACGTTGAAATTAACACCACAGAAAAAGTCACACCTAAACAAGTAACCCTGTGTTACTCATTGGGAAAAACATTCCCTTCCAGTCACACATGCTACTCCTGAATATTCTGATAAAGTTTGTTTGAGGACTTATGAAGTCTTTGATATAATTAATAACTGACAACTTTTAGGTTACAGTTTCGTATTCGTAATCAAAAGTACTACGAGTAATAACACGACTCTATGTAACTTCATCTATCCATCTGGCAAATAAGTAACTACCGCAATGTATCAAAGTTGGCAAACTCGATTGGGCAGCATTGCAGTGCACTACGCTACTTCCAAGTTACAAATAAGTTTATTGGTCCGTCGACAATGTTGGGGAGAAATTGTAGCAACGATACACTACAAAGTAAAACCAAATTAAATGGGAACTTTGTAAAATTGAGTTATTGTGAAACCTTTGCTCGGTAGCTGTAGGTATTTTACCAATATTTATTATTATTGAGGTTAAGATACAAATAATGTATTTATTTATTAAGAAAAAGTTTATCACCCAAACAACAGCCAGTGTCAAGTCAATTTTAATATTTTGATACATTAAGTATTTATCAAATATTATTATTTATTATTATCAGTTAAATGCGTTTAAAAGGCTAATAAACTGGCTCTTAATTGTTATTAATTAAAAAAAACATAAACAAATGTTAAACACGTGCTTAAATTGACATTTTCATATTTAATATCAATTTAAACAAATGGTCAACACTTATTTAACTTCATGTAATAAGCCCCTCCTTGTTTTACCTCCAGTCACGCCATAGGGACAAAACCATACGCCAATTTCGCTGTCTCTCTCATAAGCCGAAATAGCTCAGTTGGGAGAGCGTTAGACTGAAGATCTAAAGGTCCCTGGTTCGATCCCGGGTTTCGGCACGAAATTTTGACTTTATCTCTATGTTTTGCATTTATATGTCTTCAAAACGTTTTTTTTATATCTAATTCTACACTCATATTATTATTATGTTATCCCATAACTTGATTATGAATTAAAAGACAATATTGTTTTGCTGCATTTAAAGCTTTGTTTTTAATCTAAAAAAAGTTATTTTAAAACTAATTTTTAAATTACAGTTTGCGCAATTCAAGGATGTTCTGAAGTATATAAATAATAGTAACAAATATTGGCAAGGCTTCATAAATGTTTGATTTCAGTAACGTATTTATAGACGCCCGACTTGATAGATATAATATATTTATTTGCATCGCCATAATGTAACATAGAGTAGAATAGGCTTAAAGCGAAATAGATCATTATGGACACTAATAGGGCACTGCAATTAGAAGAGAGGAGGATTGACTACTCACGGACATTGCCCGCGGGCGGCGTGACCGGCGAACGAACGAGCAATGTTCGGTTCGCGAGCGAACATAGAAGATGACGATCCTGACGCACTCTCTTCAACGACTTTGTACTAAACGGTCTCAATATCATTGTAAATTTATACCGAATAGACAATTAATTTTATACAGTCCACTCTTTTCATTTAATAACTTCCACTACACTCACTATCGAAGTAACAAGGATCTATTGATTAAAGACAAGCTATTAAAAACCAAGTCATGCAATATCGGTCAATGATGGCGTCTATTTGCAATATTGCGCAATTTTGTGTTATTTGTATGAAAATAAAATAAAATAATATTATATTTTCACCTTGGAGATCGCTTAAATCCAGCAGAGAACTACAATTACCTAAAATCTTTTGCATTTCAGTCTAAGCTCTCACACAAAAGCTCGTTCATAAAGCTTTTTCTTTTTTATATTTTTCCATCGAGCAGTTTTCCAGCACATTTAACTCTGACATGAATGGATGTTTATTTTCCTAACAGATTCTAGACGGATGATAATATTTTTTAAGTGAAATTGTAGCTTAGGAGACGGGCAGTGACTTTTTTTGTTAGAGAAAATCTTATGAACCACTTTTACTTAAAATGTCTTACGAAGTTTCCACTCTTACCTAAAGGCAGTGACGATTATTTTGAGCCTTTTTGCCTTTTATCAAGGTAGAGTCGACAGCACATCAAACTGTACGTTTTTATTTCAAAATAACACTTTTTTTAAAGATGTCAGTACATGTTTCTTTATACTACAAATACACGATGCTACTTCGTTCATACAAATCAAAGATTATAATTGTTCCTGTTTAAGGGTTAAGAAACCTGATTTTAACTCAGTAGTTTTTAAGTTTCAAGTAGATATTTAAGGATACAAAGGAGGTAAGAAGATAAGGCAATGAAAAATAACCTCTATTGTTATTGTTACAGGGACGACAGCGTATGACACAGTGCGACCGCTGGCGTACCAAGACGCCAGGATCTTCATGCTGTGCTTCAACGTGGCTGAGCCAGAATCCCTCCACAATGCTGCTGCTAAGGTAGACAAAAATTCAAACTTTTACACCAACTCAGGGCTTTATCGTGGCTTTACTATAGTCCCACGATTCTGAAACGTCAAGTGGCAAAAATCAGAAACCACATTTCTCAGTTTTTGTTTGGTTAAAAATATTCCAAAATTTATTTATTTGGAACTTTTACAGTCCAACCAAAGCTTCTAACTCTACCAATCCTAACACACCCTAGCCAAATTATGTGGCTTTGCCGTTTTGTTACATACAAGAACTATTGTATAAATACCTAACTGAAAATTAATTAACGCCCATGTAACGCTATTTTAACTAAAGTGTAGAGTTTGTAAAAGTGCTTTTTAAAAGCCTACTTGCATAAATAAATGAGTTTTATGAGAGTTTTATGTGTAGTTAGGGCTTGTAGAGTTAGAAGCTTGGCTTTACATAAGATCTGATTACTCTTTCACAGTGCGAGACCTCGCATATTACTTCTATACTAATATTATAAATGCGAAAGTAACTCTGTCTGTCTGTCTTGCTTTCACGCCTAAACCACTGAAGCGATTTTGATGAAATTTGGCATAGAAATAGTTTGAGTCCCGGGAAAGGACATAGAATAGTTTTTATACCGGTTTTTGAAACAGGGACGCGCGCGATAAAGTTTTTGTGACAGACAAAATTCCACGCGGGTGAAGCCGCGGTCGGAAATCTAGTAAATATATAAATATGTTGGATTTGCTATCACTGACGCTATCTTCTATTTCCAGATAATATTTTATTTCCAGTGGCAAAAAGTAGTAATTCTATTATTGTTATTTCCAGTGGTACAGAGAAGTGCGCACGCACGGTGGCTCAGCACCTGTGCTGCTATGCGGCTGTAAGGCCGACCTGCGCCACGACAAGGAGACCGTCGCCATGCTGTCCAAGCTCAGGTCGCACCCCGTCACTAGCGAAGAGGTCAGTACTGCATAGCATTAAGACTTGACGCAGAATGTGCACTTCACAAAACGAGCATAGACTCAAAATGTACGTCTCGCAGTAGTACATTTTGGCCGTCATACAAGGAGACCGTCGCCATGCTGTCCAAGCTCAGGTCGCACCCCGTCACTAGCGAAGAGGTCAGTACTTCATAGCAATAAGACTTTACGCAGAATGTGCACTTCGCAAAATGAGCAAAGACTCAAAATGTACGTTTCGCAAGCATAGACTCGAAATGTCCGTTTCGCAGTAGTACATTTTGGCCGTCATACAAGGAGACCGTCGCCATGCTGTACAAGCTCAGGTCGCAACCCATCACTAGCGAAGAGGTCAGTACTGCAGCAATAAGACCACCTTTGTGCACTTCGCGAAACGAGCACAGACTCAAAATGAACGTTTCGCAGTAGTACATTTACATCCGTATTCACAAACGATGCTTGCTTAAATGAAGCTTGCAGAACGAATCGAACGCACAGCGTTTAATAAAGAGCTCAGTGATTGTTTCGTGTGTGACCCTGTGCGTCCACGCGCACTGTGAGACCTTAAAATGTTTTGAATATGGGCGTTAAAGTCGAGTGCTACAGAGAAGTGCGCACGCACGGTGGCTCAGCACCAGTGCTGCTATGTGGCTGTAAAGCCGACCTGCGCCACGACAAGGAGACCGTCGCCATGCTGTCCAAGCTCAGGTCGCACCCCGTCACTAGCGAAGAGGTCAGTACTGCAGCGATAAGCCTTTGGTTTGACGCAGAATGTGCACTTCGCGAAACGAGCATAGACTCAAAATGTACGTTTCGCAGTACATTTTGAGTCGAGTGCTACAGAGAAGTACGCACGCACGGCGGGTCAGCGCCAGTGCTGCTGTGTGGCTGTAAGGCCGACCTGCGCCACGACAAGGAGACCGTCGCCATGCTGTCCAAGCTCAGGTCGCATCCCGTCACTAGCGAAGAGGTCAGTACTTCATGGGCATTCCACCAGCTCGCACTAAGCGTTTCGATAACTCTTTTATAGACAGCTAGGGACTGGACTTCACTGCCTGCTACTGTCTTTCCGGGCCTTTTCAATGCGAGAGTGAATTACCACTTACAGGGCAGATATCCTAGACTGCATCACACTAACCTCCAGGTGCGATTGCGGTCAAATACCTACCTTGTTAGGCCCAGAACACACGGTGAAACGCGACCATTTCAAACCGGTTTCAAACTGGTCGCGTCATGTGTGGTCTCTCAACGGAATCTATGGCAGAAACTTAGATGCAACTCAAAAGTAACTAGAAGTTGCAGTTTCGTTGCAATTGCGTTTCACCGTGTGTTCTGGGCCTTAGGCATATTATGCTTCACGAAAAGAACATAGACTCAAAATGTATGTTATGCAGTAGTTACATTTCTCACAACGGGTACTTCTCATAATAAGCATTTTGAAAAGTACATTTTGAGAGAAAACTTATTTTGTCCGCACATTCTTCAAACCCTCCTAAGCTGTGTCCTCTATTTTGTGTATTTCTTTGTTTTTTTGCTTTGTGTGATGTGCAATAAATACTAAACCTTAGGAAAAAATGAGCACCACGGACAGTAATCACTTACTTTCACGTGTTGCTACTTGGACATTATATTTTTCACAAATCGCTTAAAAGCGCCATTTTAAACTTCCATGTCGTAAGGACCCTATCTTGGACATTAGGCTATATTTGATTATGAGCCTCAGAAACTATGAGTCGACTTCTGAGAAGTAGCCTTATCCAAGGCCGGGTTTGTGAAAAACTGTCAACATTACCACTACTACGATAGTTAGTCCCTTTCAAACTATGCCTACGAAAATGTTTACTGTGTCTCTATCATAACCACAGGCCCACTGAACGACGTGCCAACTATTCATTTCATTCATTGATTCCCCAAAGCATAGCGCCAATTAGCTGAACACGCAGTACAGTCGACCGCATATGAATCCTCACTTTATAAAAAAAAAATCATAAAACTCATTTATTTCTGTAAATAAGTTTAAAAAAAGCACTTTTACACGTCCCAGTGTTAACCCTACCACTGCTTCAGGACAACAAATGGGCCAGTGCTGGGAAGAAGCAGCGCAAGAAACTGTCACAAAATGTACAAAGTTATAAATATTTATGCGAGCTAGGCAGTAACGCATCCCAAACATTTTTATCTTTTAAATAATAGACCTTATTCCTTCCGTGTCAAACAAATTGGATCAACTATACAGTGAGTAGAGCGAATTAGCATACACTATATTCATGAAGCGTTTCACTCATACGGCTATATGACTATCTAATTAGGCTTGGAAGACTAATTAGATACCCCAATTGTACCATTAATTAGAATTAGATAGTGTACTCTACTGAAAAATAATTATGTTCGTGCAAGTAATCCAATTAAATACAGAATGTTCTATGAATTATCGATTTTATTTGGCATCGTATTATTCGTAGTACATTATTTATAATCAAAACGAGTCGCTCGATTCAATATGTGTCGGCTGCTATGGAAAATACATTGTATGCGTTGTTGCAAAAAAACTGTGAAGACTACACTAAAAGTGTATTATTAAGCTATGGTTCGTACTTTTAACAAATGTTCACTGTAACATAATCACTTGACTTTTAAAATGTCGGTCGTAAACTCGTGTATGATATTATATTTTGTTGCGAAATCCATAAACATCTTTAGGTAGAAGCCATACTTGTTATTTGACTAAAGAATTTTCGAATCTCCTTCCAATCTAAAACGACTTAACGACCATAAAAATGTTATAATAATTCTACTCCTTTTTATCATCAGCTCGTTAAATTCTTATGAAATCCTTTTCGAATATATTTTTATCACGTCTTTTTATCATAAGAAATCCGTCTAAAGTACTCAAAGAGCCATTATCAAGTGGAAAGAATTCGCTCTGAATTTTTTGTGTTATTTTCTAGTCACAAATACTTTGTCGACTGTACTCCGTGCTATTAAGGAGTCGGAGGAAGATCTCAAATTAATTGGGCAGCTTGAACGTCTCAATTGACGCCGGCCTTTTCAATTTAAGATAGCGATTACAGCTGAATATGTATTGCACAACGCAGGAATTTGATACTCGAATTCATACGCAGTTACACTGACAAAAAAATGCTCAGCAACAATGAGCATAAAGTGTTAATATTGTAATCTATATGATTTTTTTTATTGCCAAAGATCTACCAACAAGACATCTTTACACAATTAACAGAGACAAATAGAAATTATTGCCTATACATCTAACGCTGGCCAAGTGTGGTACTGGACTTTTATGATATCCCCGTGGACTGGTCTTGGTCCTATTGTAGCCGGACCAAACGGCTTTCCATCCTATGTAATATCCATGGATATTGATGATTCTTTTACTAAAGACGATCCCTTATTTCCAGGCGCTATCAGTAGCAAGACAGCTTGGGGCGACGACGTACGTGGAGACTTCAGCGCGGGCTTCCAGCAAGGGCGTGAAGGATGCCTTTGAAGTGGCCGCTTTGGCCGCGCTGGGCAAACTGAACAAACAGCAGATGAAGCAGCAGCAGGTGATTAATACTCTTAAAATTCATGCCAAACGGCTTTCATAACTATAACTACAAGTTTAATAATTAAAAGAAGCTATTATCTCATTAGTAAGATCAGAGACAGCAGTTATGGAATTTAAAATCAGCAAAAATATCATGTACAATGATGCACGAGTTATAACTGTCATTAGAATCCTTTCTTTCCAATCTCTAAAACTTTTCCTTTTCCCAGAAGCAGGTGGGACGCAGCAAAAGCAAACGGGACCTAAAAGCCGAGCTAAAGGGGCGAGCGAAGAGTTGCTGCGTCATGTGATCCGTAGCCGGCCACCCCTCGCGGTGGCCGAACGACTGCTAGGCGGCCACCGCCCTTCAAAACTTCTCAATCTACCGCCAGCACTATGGCTTCATCACATAGAAGACACACCGGGCCCAATGTTGCGCCTTGCGTGACACCTGCACCCAACGCCGAAACAAAAGTGTATTTTGACGGTTGAAGTGACCTATTCATCTTCTGAAACTGAATGGGAATCGAAAAAGTTGTCGAAATGTTTGTGAGACTATTGAAAATTTTAAAATTAAGTGTGATTATATTTATCAAATGCCTCGATAAGAATTATAAGGACTGTAATATTTATATACGACGGAATGAGATTGGTTTAGCGATCGTGAGGCTGGATCTTTTGTAATCTTCCTTTAAAGATATCATTGAAACAAAGGTGCAATGTATAATGACCCCCAGGGTTTCAGCGTAAGCCTGTGATAAAGTAAAAAAATAGAAAATTGAAAGAAAAAGTGAATAGCGGAGTTTAGGCAGTTTGAAATTAGAGGCAAATGAGCGCTGAAATCGAATGATATTTAAATGTTAGTTATTTACAAACTATTAATATAATTGTCCTAAAATAAAAGAATGATACATAGCTAGTAGACGAAATAAGTGTTTTCATATACATACAATGATGACCTAATTGTAATTACTCGATGTTTTTCTATAACCGTAGCATTTTCAGAATATAATGTAATAAGAAATTTAAATGTGCTCCGTTGTTATTTTTATGTAGGACCAATATTATGTACATGTATTGTTTAAATTCGAAAGCTTACGTAGTTAGATTAATTAAGTGGTCAATATGATTGATTTGAAAGCTACAAGCTAAATTTGTTTTGTGATATACATATGTACGTAATAATGTAAATTTAATGAAAAACAATGCACAATTATGGACAATACTAAGTTACGGAGGTCCATTTGCTAGTTAGTTCACGTCCATGTTTGCTACGTTTAGGACTTAGCGTTTTGTACATTGTACCATGTTGATGTTAAATGTTGCTTGCATTCATCGTGATTTTCTTCATTGAATGTAATACTTCAAAATGTTAATTTCGTCTCTTTCACTTCCATTAAATGTTCATTAAACTTTATTATCATTCACGACAATTTATTTTGTAAGATTTTATGATATATTATTTATATTATAGTAGGTATGTGTGTGTTACAAATTATTCTATATTGTATTTAGATATTTTGTAATAATTTCGTCTATTCTAAACGCACAAAACATCGACTTGATCTTAATTTCAAAATTATTAGAAATCATTATTGCTTACGCACATTTAACAGTCATTAGAAAATCAATGTTTGTATAAACGAGTCACCATTTTCTAAAGTAGTCAAAATAGATAAATCTACACTTTATACTTTAGATTTTTGTGCGAATCAATTATGAACATTATTATATCTACCACTACATAGTTTATTTATGTTATTTAATACAATTTTTATATTTATTATTGTAGGTTGAAAAATAATATGATTCCTTCTGGTAAGATTCAATTAGTTATTTTAAATATTTCTAAAAACCTTGTATCTTTAGTAGATGTTTAGTAGGTACTATATTTTCTTATAATGTTAAAGTTAGTTTAAATTTGAATTGTTTAGAATATCGTAAGTCGATATCAAGCTTTAAATTCAATGTTAGCTTTAATTATGAAGTAAAAGTTATTATTATTAATATTTAAACCGTTGGAGTAGTTGTAAATCTTTTCTTTAAATTATTTTTATTATTTTATTTTATGTATGATATCCTGAACCTTACACATATCATTGTAACATAAAGTAACTTCTCTAACGAGGATATAACATTGCGGTTTGGATATTGGTATGAAATTAAAAAACTTTTGATACTGAGTTTTTCTTTTAGATGCTTTTGTGTTATGTATTTGTAGTCTGTAATTTAACGAATGTTGATTTCTTGAACATAATGGTAACAAAATCGTAGTGTAAATAATAATCATGCCAATAACCAAATCATCATCTTGTCCTAGGTCTATAAGATTGGAACACGTTTCATTTCACAACGACGCCACTTGTATAAAAGGTGGGAATTGTTTTAATGTTAGTAACTTTTGTACTGGTGCAACAATATGTGGTAAAAAAGCAGTTATTAATCATGATATTAATCATCGATTGGCTGAGGACATTGTAATTATGACAGTATTGACGGAAGACTATTAGGAAGATATTACCTACTCAAAGCTCAAGATTTTTAGTAACTGAATATTAACTGGTCCCGTTAATGCTTCCAGTTAAGCTAAATCGCAGGTGTACATATCACAACGAAATGGTCTCTCACTAGGCCACATTAAAACAATTAAATAATCGATGGTGCAGTAAACAGTTAACAGAGGTGCACTCTTAACAATGTCTTCGGTCCATAATAATGGTTCACAAATTTTTAATTTTTCTTTAAATAGTTTAGATAAATTATACAAATTGACTACTGATATTGTAAGCTCATATTGTTGCACCTGTATTTACGTTTTAACTCTAGTAACGAACGTTAAGCTAATGAATGTTGTTCTAGAATATTGAATATAGCGATCAGTGTTTTTTGAATTATAGTTTTTATTTAAGTACCCTCAAAATACTCCATGAATACGATTTCTTTCTAGATTTCCTTCAAAATCAACGTTATACGAGGGGCGGCTGAAAAGTTTTGAGCCTAAGTATCTTCAAGTGTTATTATTGACTCGCGATAAATTTAATTAATTTGCCAATAACCTCCTTAGTATATGTACAAAGTTTCATTTCATTAGCGTCATCACGCTTTTAGTAATTGATCCGTAAACATCATCATGTCTCAGTCATCCGCGCAATGTACGAAATTGAAGTACACAGTTGTCATAAAATTCCTCAAAAAGAGGAACAAAACGCTGTACGGTAACATTTGAAGAGATGTCTACCGTTTATGGGAAGTCTGGGCCTTCATTTGCCATCATGAAAGATTGGATCCGATAGTTCAAGCATGGCAGGGAGTCGCTAAAAGATGACCGCAAGTCAGGGCGGCCAGATTTCGCCTTTAACGAATAAAATAATGAAAATTTAAAGAATCTTGCTTTAGATATCAGCGAATTAAGCTGTGACAGATAGCTGAAGCCATAGGCATTAGCAAGGAACGTATCGGCGATATTTTTCATACTCATTTGCACATGAAATAGGGGTGCGCGCGATGGGTGCCAAAAATGCTCACGCCGCTCGACAATCAGTGTCGAGTCACAACTTCGCAGGAGTTTTAGGACATCTTTGGCCATAATCCTAACAATTTTTTTTCTCACATTGTCACTATTGATAAATAGTAGATCCGGCAGTACGATCTAGAGTCAAAATAAGAGTCAATGCAATGGATTCAAAAGGGAAAACGCCGCCGCGGAAATTCAAAGTGGAGCGATCGACACCCAAGCTCATAGCCACTATTTTTGGGATTGTGGAGGAATTTTATTCATTGACTACCTACTTAAAAAAACTACAATAAACGGGAATTATTATGCTGTACTGTAAATAAGAGTGCGTCAAGTGGTTGTTGAAATATTAAGAGGCAAACTGGCGAAAGGAAATCTTTTATTGCAAGACAATTCGCCCGCGCACACCGCGCATTTTGCACGGCTTGCCCCGGGTAAAACTGGATTTCAAGAAATTAATTACCCACCACACAGTTTAGTCCGAATCCCTAGCTATTTTGTCTAATTCTCAAATTGGAAAAAAGACCTCCAGGAACGAAGATTTTTGAGTGACAAAGAAATGAAGGCGGCGTTAAAATCTCATTTCGAAGGCAAAGATTGCGAATTTTTTTTCAGTGGCTTAAAAGCTCTTTTACACAAATGTAAGAAGTCCGTTGTAGTAGAGGGAGATTAAATAGAAAAATATATTTTTTATACTTTTCTATCGGCATTTTTAATATCCTAGGCTCAAAACTTTTCAGCCGCCCCTCGTACCAAGTTTCCCGCCGTTAACTACGAACTTGACAATTTCCACGAAGTTATTTCAAAACTTGCTATGGTTTAATTCAATACTGAAAATACAAAGCAATTCTTACAGTTCGCGCAAGGTAATGTAGAATGGCAAGATACGAAGTAAGCGTTTCATTGAAAAACTTTTCTGACACAGCCCAGCTCGAAGGCAGCCAGATCAATCCATGGTTCAAAACAATCAAAAATCTTCACATACGAACAATAGTAAAAGTTGACGGTATGAAACTGTCTGTTCTTAGGTAGATATGTTTAGCATTTAGCTAATTGGATCCTGAGATTCGATACACAATCGGGAAATAATTGAATCGTTGTAACAAAAGGTTAAAGGGACTAAAACGTGTTAACGACATGTCTTTGGCATACTCGTAATTGAATATCAGACGAAAATGGAAGATACTATATCATCTGATATCGCAAAGTCAATTTTACGGTGACACATCCAATGAAACAGGCAAGAAGGATAGAAAAAACTTAATTTGTTTCGCCTATCTCGCTCTTACAAAAAGAAGAACGAAACATAAGACTTGGTAGGTATGTAGAGTCTTAACCAGATATTTTCCAGAAAGGGTAGCTGCCCTCCTCTCTTCTATCAAGATAGATATTTGTCCCCATAACCACCAACAGAAATGCTTAGTGACTGTGACCTGGCTGTTCTGCTTGCGTTATTCAAACTGTTCTCTCCTTGAGTTGATTTAATTATCAGGCGCGGAACGGTCTGCGGAATGCGAAACGGAATGAAGTGGGTCGTGCGATGAGCGGACCCTGGGCTTCGCAAGTTCAGACGTTAGAACCAAGTGCCTTTACGCCTAATGGTTTTGTTTAGAAGTTTTTAAATATATTTTTAGTCGCACTAGTCCTCTAAAAGAGCTAATTAGTACGGTGACAAGAACTACGAAAGTAATACGAAAAATTTCTAACGACAAAAGAAACAGTGTAAAGGGACATGCAAATAAATCACATCTCCCTTTCTGTGACTGATCCTGCTTCTATTGTATGGTCTTACAATTGGATAATTTTCAGTGCCTTGCCTGAAAATTAAATAGGACTCCCCAGTTGAAGGGGGGTAGGTACGTATTGTTTATGAATAAGGTAGAAGCTGTGGTAGAAGTCAGTAACAATAGTACCTGCTCGTAGAGTTCACGAAAAACCTCGAATTCCTACTGCCCAAAAAATGGCTCACATTTCATTTTTTAATATTCCCTTCATGCTACGGCATACAGTCAAACGGCCATGCCTCAAACATTTTATTGAGAGCTCGGCCAAACCGCCCGCGTCCAGGCGAATACTAAAGAGTTTTT